GAAAGATCACCGAAGAAAGACACTCGAGATAGAAATTACTCTTTGTTGCAAATGACGACATCATTCGTTGACTTTATCATCTTTCTTGTCTGAGTTTCGAGAGCTTCGAAACGCTGAAGAAAGTAGGTTTAAAACTCCACTGAAGAAAGATTGAATCTATCAATTTCGAAACTAAAAGTGCGAAAGAATCGTAACCTGAAGACGAATCAAAAGGCGAGCATCAGAAGCGGAAATACACTCTACTTTCGCGTTCATCCAACAACAATTTTACACAGTTCCAACTGCAACGGCCGGAAAAAAAAATCAATTTCCCCGATTGCCCGATTCGAAAATCCATCGCCCAAGAGTTCGCCATCCAATGGCTCGCTCGTTAAAATTCGAAATTGTTCCGTTCTGTCTGTGAGGACACACACACACACACACACACAACACACGTCGACGGATAATCGTTGTTTCCTCGTTAAGGGATCGACGAATAAATCGAGTGTCGAGTGAAACGTTACGGTTTCCACGGACCGTGGAGTAAGAAGCGTTGACGAACCGCAGGAAATAGTTGGGGGCACATGGTGTTCCTCCTTCATGGCGGGTGCGCGTGGTAGTAGTTTCGAAACGTGACGAGAATGCGAGTGAATCGAGCGATGCCACAGAAATTTCTTCTTCGTTTAGTTGCGCATGGTGTCGAGAGGAGCTGATAGTCGTCGATCGAAGCTAAATCGGATCACGCGAGATCGTTCGGTCGACGTCCACCTTTCTTGTGTGTGGAAATTTCGGTAACAAAATTCGCTCCAATTGTTCGTGGGGACATTTCAAAGTTCAGTCGTTCACCATTACAAAATTGTTGCTCATCGAGTTTTGCCCTCTGATATTAAAATGTCGGGCATTCCTTCAACTTCCGGCGGCTCGTCGATTGTTTTTAAAAGACATTGGACATTTTCAGCTTTCGTAAAATATCATCGCGATTTAACGTGATTAATCTTTTATGGTTGGAGAACCCGTGCTGGATCTATCTGATTTATCGTTTGGAAGAATCATACGCAGTCGTATGAAATAAATATTAATTGTTAGTGGATTATTAATACAATAATTATTATAATAATAGGGGAAAATTTTATTTCTTTCCCGCGAACCGTACAATTTTTTCCAAAAAAGTTTGACAGTCTTCTTACTGTACAAGGTCCAATTGAGAGATTTAGCCTTGTTTTCGAATTCTTTTTTTGCCATCCGGTATCCGGTTTCCACCCTACTCTGTATAATTATAATAATTATTATATAAACAGAGAAGTGACACAAACGACGAAATAATCAAAGAAATAAGTGAGTCAGTCACGCTTGCGGAGTCGTCGTGTCTTTGTTGTTAAGGAAAAAACGGGAAATTCGAAAATCCCGCTCGAAAGAGGGGAACCAATCATTCGTTTTAACATTCATTAACGACATTGACCGACAGTTCGAAAGAAGAAAATACAGAAGAAACGCGTCTGTATGCGAAAATCGGCCCCTTTTGAATCGAAAGTCAAAATCATTTAATTTTCAATTTTCTGCGCAGGGTTTACCAGGATCGTACGGGATCCCAGGCGAGATGGGCTATCCAGGAGAGACGGGAGACATGGTGAGTAGAGAGGATCGCTTGATTATTCGTTGGTGTACACGCTTCGGGTACCGTAACGACCGATCGGGCCAACCAGAGGGTTCGTGAACCTCTTACGGGCGTTTAGGTCGTGCTACTCGTTCGCCAAGCGGACCGGGTCCGAGAAGAAAAAGAGAGAAACGACGACGAGTAGAGAGAGAAACGGTCCGGAGCCTTTGGACGCTTGTCTCGTTCCTTTTTGCGAAACGCCACCTGCTCGCATGAAATATCGTCTGGCTAAGTGTTGGTCGGCAATATTTAACGGACACGCCGGAAATAAGAAGTGAGGAGGCCAGATGAACGAGTAGCGGCCAGGAATTTAAAAGAATTCACGCGATATCGCGCTGGAATCGTCGCGACAAGATCTTTCGCGCGAGCGCCTTTTGTTCTCCGCCTTTTTTTCTTCGTTCGAATCGCAATAAATATCTTCTAACCACTGTAGATAGGTTTATAGGACTTGGTTTTGAACGAAGATGATTTTGTAGTAATTATTTTAGATATATATAATTTCCAAACTTTTTTACTCGCACATTCATTGGTGGAAATAATGGAATTGGACGCGAGAGAAAATACGAGCAAGTTGGCGTGAACGAAGCTGGAGACGATGGGAGAGATGGCGAACAGGAGCCACGTGTTAATCTCTAAAGACGAAACAAGCCAGAATCCGTTGAAATCCGAAGCGTCGCGCTCCTGGATTCCGTTATTTGCTGACACTACCGACAGCCACTGATAACACGAGCTACCATCGGCAGATGATTCCACCGCGAGCGATCGGCAACTTCCGAGAAACTCGAGATCTCTCGGTTGGTTGCATTCGCCCTTCTGTAAATTCCGGACACCTTGCACGCGCGACCAATTCACGAGCGTGAAAAGATGAGAAACTGAATAATATATATGCATGCCGTCGGATTCAACCGCGATCAACATCGAAGTAGCTCGTGATTATACCGTTTTACGTAGCGCCACGTGCCATTCATAAACACCGCGTTGGATAAATAATGGTAAAAATAAAAATTGCCTCGTAAAAGCAGAGTCAAGTAAAAACTTACGCACGTTTAATTGAAAAGAAAGTGATTAGTATATTATCTATGTATCGTATGTTATACGTGTGTATATATATATATATATATATATATATATAATCGCGATCGTGGCACTGGAACGTCATTTTTGTTCGCACGATCAATCTTCATTCAATCCTCGTCGTCAGTTGCGTCCAACTTTATTATAAATATATAAATATAAATTTCAATTTCATTTTCATCTCACCATCAATTACTTCAATTATAGTATTTCTACATGTAACACTCTCACATATTTGTGGATCAAATCCAATTCATTCGGATCAAACCAACGTCTATAGAATTATTTCTCATCCATATTTCTCAGTTAAAGATTTAATTACAATTCTTTTCAATTACATTGGTTTTTTTCAAAATCCTGTAATTAGCTCCATCTCGTGTTAAGCCAGAATGATATTTTCCATTTGTTTTTATTCAACCTTACGATCAATTTCATCACGCTCGCTGGTACACAAATGTTTGCGTCAAAGGGGTCGAACTTACAAGGGATTGAATCACGTTCTAGGGTTTCCACGGATCTCCAGGGTTACCAGGCATGCAAGGCGACGTCGGTGAGACCGTGTACGGTATAAAAGGCACGATGGGCGAGCAAGGAGACAGGGGAGAACCTGGCCCGCCGAGTCCGGACGAGTACACGAGAAATACAGACTACACTCGGGTAAAGGGTAGCAGAGGTGTCAAGGGGATGCGAGGGGACACGGGCGATCGGGGGAGGAAAGGAGAACTGGGCGACAGAGGTCCTTTCGTAAGTGACATTCACAAAAACCTAACCTATTTTTTTTTTTTTTTTTTACGTGGAGGAAATCTTCATAAGACACCTGAATCTTTTAAGGGAAGATCCAGGTAGTGTCTGATTTTTACCGATTAAAACCTCCACGATGGCCGTCCTCCTAACCTAAGCCTAACTTGCAACTTTGCTTATGACTTACGAATCTTATCCGGGACAATTCATTGCGTATTTTCTACGTAAGATCACAGACGAGGTATACGAATAGACGTTAAATAAAGAAATTAAAAAAAAAAAAAATTTGTTATGTTCAATTATGTTATTCATAAAAGTATCAATTTTTTCTTAATACTTTTAAATAGATGTTAATAGCCAAATATGTACTAAATTTTCCATCCTATTTTTTTTTCTTTTTTACGTGGAGGAAATCTTCATAAGACACCTGAATCTTTTAAGGGAAGA